CTACACCGGCCCGAATTGACTCAGCACATATCTTTCATTGTCGACTCACTTGGCCCAAGCTTCAAACGGGAATTTACTGACCACTTCTTCCCATCAATCTTTCCTGAACCACTACAGCGACTATGAGAGCCATACCATATGTTCATACATTGTATCATACATATTTGCCATTTTTGAAACATATAATATTGTCCCTATGCGTCGGCACATTTTTTAATCTCTTTAAATGGAGATTCCGTATCCTTCGCCTCCGCGCGTGCCCGTTTATTGGGTCGCGTGGATAGAGTGGAGTTGCGAGCACGTGTCTGGTTAAGACGCGTCTGATGAGGTTTATCATCTGACGTCTGGCGTGAGAGGTATCTTTGATCAGTGAGCTGGCGCGGTTTCTTATTTACCGTCTTTTTCTTCGAGGTTACTCGGTGTGCGGGGAAAAGAGTGGATACAGTATCATAAAACTGTTTCCAAGTGAGTCGGAATAGATAACACTTTGTTTCATGTCCCTTGTCTCAAACCTCAGTAGCGTATTTAAGCCGCAACTCGGTGTGTAGACTTTCACGGTCGTTGTTTCCTATGTTCTTACAGAACACATGCATAACCAGGAACTCGTACCATCGCTGCACCTCTAGACGTTTAAGGTCAGCATCAAGTTTCAGAATATAACTCTGAATAGGAGTATTCTCAACTGGTTCAGTTAAGATTGAACTCAGTCCTGGACTGCGCATGTCCTTGCTTAACAAGGACGTATACAGCTGGCCAGTCACGACAAATGTCTAGCTCATGCTGGTGTTGCTGCAGGATCAAGTAACTTGTTCCTGTAGGGTCAAACGAAATCCATTGCTGGGGAGCAATATCATTCGTCGCCAGCATGACCGTAAACGCATTAAGCGTACGGATTACCGTATCGAGGTCATGGTTGTTTATAAACTCGACCTGCTTACTGTTGGCATCTCAGTTCGACTTAAGTCGACTGATCAGCCCCTTGTACCTTGGTAATCGCGGCGGTCTTGCTCACGTTGAATATGCAGTAGTTGATCTATCCGCTTTTGCTTAATAGCGATTAGATTAGCGTAGTAGGTGACGTCGCTGGCGTTTTGTAAGTTATGCGCTATGTAAAATCATATACGGCCTGATTTAGCGAGGTTATCTCTTCAGATTGGAAATCTTCGGCAGGCTGATGAATAGCGTGCCGATCGACTCGATTAAACTCGATGTCCTTGGCGCGCCTACGGGCAGCTTTAGTGCCTCGAGAATGTGCCCCAAAGTCCATAATAGAAGACTTACGCTTCTCGTTAATGTGAAGCTCAGGTGGTATAATCACCGGTGGGTCTTGATGCATAGGGGGAATATATCCCGTAGACTTTGGTACTGGGTGTGTGACCTTTTCCAAATAGGGAAGCTCCTACTAAGCCTACTTTCTTGTCTCGGGGTTTATAATATCCTCGAGAATAGGAGACTCACGTCCAGGGGATACTCCTGGCGTGATTAGTGTCTGATCTTCGGGGTTTAAACCCGCAAAGGCTATCGGAAAACTTGGTAGTTCGGGCTCGTCCGTGACTGGCTTTTCCAGTTGACGGGCGGTCCAATTTTCAAGAGCTTGAGTAGTACAGGGAGAAATATGTTCTCGTATGCGTTTTGCTTTCTCACCTGACTCATACATCTTCTCTACCTGTTCAATGGTCATTCGCTCCCTAAGAGCGGCTAACCGGTTCTTAAGTTCAGTGTTCTTATTCGATCAACTTACTTATGTGCGATGGCTGGTTTGATTCTGATTCGGGTCGGCTCTCTGAGCTTTCCTTCTCATCCTCTCCCTTAAGCGGGTTGTCTCCTTTCTCCGTAATTGGAGTTAGATCCTTCTGAGTGTTCTCATCAGGATTACTAGATGTTCTGTCACATCTACTGAATTAGAAAAAAGTCACCAAAAATTTCGGAAAATGTACGATTTTTCGGAAAAAAAACAAACAAAAGCAATGACAATTGACAAATGTTCTAAATATATTTATTAAATACTTATTTATAAAGAATTGTAATTTGTCATAGCCTAGATATTTATTTAGTAGGCTATGATTTGGAGGCTACGCAAATATTTAAAAAATAAAAACAAATTTTAAAATATCTGCTGGCTATGTGATTTGATTTTCAAAAAAAAAAAGGGACAATTGCAATCTCGCATAGCCATATAAATTATATTTAAATACACAAGAAGGCTATGAATCTCTCATCTCTTTTGCGTGAATCACAAAAAGCGATGAATGTCATTATTAAATAGTCACACGTCAATATTATTTATAAAAGTAAATATCTGAAGCGTAGATATTTTTAGGAGGTGTAGTATGTACATATCTGAAGCGTAAATATCTGAAACTGAAGCATATTACTGATTTTATATAGACCTCTACTACGAGCCTGTTGAGAGTTCATACTTTACAAGGACTCGTTTCCCTGCTGCAAATATGAATTCTGAAGCTAGTAGCGTCTTGAACCGAGATGTCGACCTGGTGGTGAAGACCACAGACGGCAAATGTAGTGACTTGAATCTGAAATGTCCATTGGACACAACCGTTGTCCAGGTATCATTATACGTGTACATTTAATGTGAACAATTCTGTTTTAAGTAAACATTCCTATAATTAGATGGGTGGTGTTAAGTGAGGATACTTAGGTGTTTAGTGAGAGTAATATAATATTTCCGTGTGTAATTATATGGTTAATATCCTCGCACGGTACATATTCTTGTTTGCAATGATATCATATATGAATAACATATCTAATGAGTGGTAATGTATACCGTGGTATGAATGATTACACATCAATATACTTATATCTTTTCTCATAGACGACTCTACAAAGTTAGACATGTATGATAATCAGACAATGTGTGCGTGTAAGCGTTGGACATGTTCTGTGTCTGCAAGTGTTAACCTGCACGAACATGTTCTTGGAACTGTTACTGTTGCACTTTGTGATTTACTTGCATTCCGATACGAGTATTTTACGTTTGAAATCAATTTATCTCTATACAGACATCTTTCGCCGTATTTGAATAAGCATTTTAGTATGAATATATATATACATATATATATATATATATATATATATATATATGTATATATATACACACACACACACACACACACACACACACACACACACACACACACACACACACACACACACACACCACACAC